AAAAAAAGTGTGTAAGTGGTTGGCAGGTGCTCTGGTGTGGTTCGCTCCCTCTTTCCTATCAAACATCTATTGTCCTGATCTCTCCTCCTTCTTTTTGACGTTTGTTACTCTCTTTCTCTTATAACACCTCTAATCTTCGGCACTTATATGACCTTATTGTGTTGTAAGTGCCATGAAACTCTTACTTTAAAAACAACAACAAACAAACAACACGGTGCTCTGGTCGTGTGGTTTGCTTCTTCTTTCCTATTAAACATCTATCGTCCTTATCTCCCCTTCTTCTTTTTTATGTTTGTTACTCTCTTGTAACACCACTAATCTTCTGGCGCTCATATGACCTTATGCAGTTGCGAGCGCCGTAAAACCTCTACTAAAACTAAACAAACCGCGTACAAGTGTCCCCTGTCTGTCTGTTCGTGCCGCTGGAATGTTGTGCAGTACGTGTCCCACTCAGTCCGGGTTGGCCTTGACATGCAGGGTCATAGCAGTACGCCTCTCAATGGACCTACATTCTGTGGCTGGGGGTGACAAAAGATACATTTCCGCACTGTCTGTCTGTCTGTCTGTCTGTCTGTCTGTCTGTCTGTCTGTCTGTCTGTTTGTCTGTCTGTCTGTCTGTCTGTCTGTCTGTCTGTCTGTGTGAGTGGGTGGTTGGCGTGTGTTCTGGTGTGGTTTGCTTCTTCTTTCCTATCAAATATCTATCGTTTTTATCTCCCCTCCTCCTTTTTTTTGGTGTTTGTTACACTCTTGTAACACCTCTAATCTTCGGCACTTATATGACCTTATTTTGTTGAAAGGGCCGTAAAACACTGTCTGTCTGCCTGTCTTTTTCACTTTGTCTCTCTTGATACCTCTCTTACCACACTTTTATGGCACTTGCAACACAATCAGGTTATATCTATGCCGAAGATTAGAAGTGTCACTATAGTGAGTGACATACAAAAAGAAAGACGGGGGAGAGATATGGACGGTGATAGATGTTTGATATGAACGAAGGAGCATACGATGGAGCATGGACGGTGATAGATGTTTGATATGAACGAAGGAGCATACCACACCAGTGCAATCATTCACCCACTGTGGAGCAGAATCTTTTATAGTGTTGTGGTTTGGCTCTTCGACATTTCACACGAATATGAGTTCAATTCAAACAGCCTGCCTCCAAAATAATTCAAATGGTGTCCTTATATCTCCTTCTTCTTTTCTTTCTATGTTACTCTCTAGCAACACGTGTAATCCTCAACATTTCTATGACCAGTTTGTGTGTTGCAAGTGCAATACGACTTACTAAAGCTCCAAAAAAAAAAGTGGGTGGTTGGCGGGCGCTATGGTGTGGTTTGTTTTCTTCTTTCCTATGAAACGTCCTTATATCCCCTTCTTCTTTTTCATGTTTGTTACTCTCTTAGAACACCTCTTATCTTCTGGCGCTCATATCACCTTATGTAGTTGCGAGCGCCGTAAAACCTCTAAAAAAAACAATTAAAAAAACTCTTTAACCCTTTTAGGATATAGTGGACACAAATCTGATCAGCAGCAGACTAAAGGAATGCTTTGAACTGACTACTTTTTTGCTCAGAGAAAAAACCCATAATGATACTAATAGTAATAACAATGATTAATAATAATAATGATAATAATAATAATAATTATTATTATTATTATAATTATAATGATAATAAATAGCATTTGTATTATAGGGCATATCCCCTCTCAACAGCAAACTCTATGTGTTTTATACTATATTATTACTCCAGCAGACCATAGAACATTCAGAAACTTTCTCAGTTTCCAGGGAAACATACAGTGCAAGCAGCTGATTAAGTGCTCAAACACTAACAAACTGGCAAGATCTTTCACTGTCTATAGCTGGGTGAACTGAGGAAAATTTGTGTTAAATGCCTTTCCCAAGGTCACAATGTTTGGCCGCGACGGGATTCGAACTCCTGACCTTACGGTTGCGAGTCTGAGAGCCGAACCACTTTGCCACCAATGCTACAATATCAACATGGAAAAGGTTTTATCTGCAATTGCACTTAAGATTCGCAAACTTTGACATCCCGTACATGTATCTCATACGTACCTAAAATGCAGATAGAACCCTTTTAATCTCAAACGATAGTTTTATCATTCATGGAAACCACTTGTGGGTGGTTGACGACAAGTGCCCTTGAGTGGTTTTCTCCTTTTTTTTCTTTTAAACATCTGTTGCCCTTATCTTTTCTGCTCCTTCTTTCCTATCAAACATTTTATCGCCCCTATCGTTTCTGCTCCTTCTTTCCTATCGAACATATGTAGCCCTTATCTTTTCTACTCCTTATTTCTTTGAATATGTTTCTCTCTAGTAACATCTCTAATCTTGGACACTTATACTATGACCTATCTGTGTTGCAATTACAGTATGACTCTTACTAAAACTAAAGTAAACCACAAGGGTTGGTGGGGGGGGGGGGGGGGGTGTCTCGTGGTCTAGAGGTTACAGTGTTGGCCTTTCATTCAATAGATCTTGGTTTCGAGACCTGACAGCGACGGAAAATTTTCTTCTCTAAAAAGGTTTCCCTTTCACCTCCTTTCCAGCTCTCTAACCATGTTCCGTCTTCTGCTTTCCTCTCCTCTTTTTTGCCCCTCCTCTGGACTCAAGATTCTTTCTGCAGCCTTTCTACTGCTACTCTTTGGTTCCTTCTTACTGCTGTCTCTGAGCCACACCCCTGATCTTAGGGTAGGTAAGATCTAACACCTAGCCTTCTTGGATAAGGGTGAAAAATGTCGGAGGTCCCATGTGCAAGTTGCAAACGCGAAAGATTCCTTGGTGGTCCAGAATCGATAAGAGTAGGTTTCGGCCGCCTCCCTGGCAAAGTTTCAGATTAAATATCACCGAACTGAAAATGTTTAATGAATCCCAGGTGCTCATATGACCTTATGCAGTTACTTTGCGAGTGCCTTAAAACACTTACCAAAGCAAAAACCAAACTGAACAACTTTTTGACAGTGCTCGTGTGACTTTATGCAGTTGCAAGCGCCGTAAAACACTAATAAAAAATAAATGAGTAAAAATAATAAAACCACTCATTGTGTGTAACCTGAAAACCTGTGTGTCCCTCCCCAGGAGCGGCCTGCCCAACTTCTGCACTGTGGCTATGGCCTTAAACGACCTTGGCTACAAGGCGCTGGGTATCCGGCTGGACAGTGGTGACCTGTCCTACCAGTCCAACGTGGTCAGGGCCAAGTTTGTGCAGATTGCCGCTCAGTGAGTAGTACCACCATCGTCTCTCCCTCTTTCTTTTTGTGTCACGACGCGGTGGAATCAGGCGTTTGTCAATGTTGGGCATGTGGAGATATTGGTAGCATGTTAAAGCTTGTTCATTTGTCTTGCTTTCAATGGAAAAAAAATACCCGTGTATCTTGAATGTGGGTGGTTGGTGGTGCTCTGGTGTGGTTTGCTCCTTCTTTCCTATAAAAAATCTATCGTCCCTATCTCCCCTCCATCTTTTTAATGTTTGTTACCCTCTTGTAACACCTCTAATCTTCGGCACTTATATGACTTATTGTGTTGCAAGTGCCGTAAAACTCTTACAAGAACTATTTATCTTGAATAGAAGTTGAGATATCCACCGTTGAAGGAGGTGGAAGTCACCTTGTTTCAGATGTTGAACTAGCGAGAAAGTGGCAGCCAAAGTTTGGTTATTTTGATAGCTGGAGAGCCCATGGTAACTGAAAACTTACTTTTTTTTGTAGGCCTACCTTTGATCAATATTTTTCTGTAAAATCCATGCAGAAAATTTCTTTAATTGACATAAAAGTAAAAGATGTTGAGCCAAACAAGCAAAAAAAAAAAGAAGCTAAACTGGCGTGAAAATGCCAGTTTCTTCAATTTCATTATATTGATGAGCGCCTGATTTCACCATGCTGCCACACATTTGAGTGTGTGTGTGTGTATGTGTGTGTGTGTGTGTGTGTGTGTGTGTGTGTGTGTGTGTGTGTGTGTGTGTGTGTGTGTCTGTTTGTTTGTGTGTCCGTGTCTACTGTCTTTCTCTTAGTTGTTTTTTTTTCCCTTTATTTCAACGTTGTGTCTGTCTAGTTTCTTTTTATTGTGTCTTTGTCTCCTATCTTTCTCTCATTTATTTTTGTTTAATTCATGATTGTATGTTTGTCTTTTTTCTTTCTATCAGTTGTTTGTCTGTCTTTTGTGTTTGTTTCTTATCTTTGTCTGGTGTCTTTTTTTTATCTTGTGTTTTGTATCCTCTCTTCCTCATGTCTTTCTTTAGCTGATTATGGTTGGAGGCTACTTGTAGTCTTGTTTCTGTTGTTTGTGTCTGAATATACACAATACTGAGTACTGTTATACAGTGTCTGAAAACACATCTGGCTGAATGTTTATCAAGATCCTATCTCTCTTTCTGTTTTTTTCTGTCTATCTCCCTTTTTCTCTGCACTAATTATAATTACTCATTCTCGTGAAAATGTGTTATTCTTTACTCAAATGTCACAGAGAAACAACTCCTCAGTCATTCCTCTTGCCTTCATGGAAAGCTGTTGTCTTTTTCTTTATTCCTCTTGCCTTCATGGAAAGCTGTTGTCTTTTTACTTATTCTTCCTGCCTTCATGGAAAGCTGTTGTCTTTTTACTTATTCTTCCTGCCTTCATGGAAAGCTGTTGTCTTTTTCTTTATTCCTCTTGCCTTCATGGAAAGCTGTTGTCTTTTTACTTATTCTTCTTGCCTTCATGGAAAGCTGTTGTCTTTTTACTTTGTTATCATCTTCCCTGAACGCTCATTATTGTCTTGATATGTGTCTCATATCCAAACAAAGCGAAAAGACTGATTGAAGACACATGTACCTATCCAAAGCTGGCTTATTTTTTTTCTGTAACAGTTCTCGTCTTATGTTAAATGCCCACTGTGGATGGTTAGCAGGTGTTTTGGTGTGGTTGGTTTGCTCCTTCTTTCCAATCGGATATCTGTCATTCCAAACTCTCCTTCTTTTTTCCTTTCTTTGTTTGTTACTCTCTATCAACACCTCTAATCCTTGGCCTTGACATTTATATGACCTATTTGTTTTGCAAATGCTGTAAATATCTTACCTAAACAGAACGAATTGGTCACTATCTCACTATGGTTCAAACAGGATCTGTGAATGGTTGGCGGGTGCTCTGGTGTGGTTTGCTCCTTCTTTCCTATTAAACAACTATCGTCTTTATCTCTCCTCCTTTTTTATTTTTGTTGTTACTCTCTTGTAACACCTCTAATCTTCGGCACTTATATGACCTTATTGTGTTGCAAGTGCCATAAAACTCTTTACTGCTAAAGCTAAACAGGATCCTATATGAACCCAAACCCATGAGCTGGGGAATAGTAGAAGTAAGCATAAGATGTCTTCTTGGCCCACAGTTACTCTTTGCCGTGGTTCGAACGCTTGACCATTGTGGCCAGTAACGACATCAATGAGGACACCATACATTCCCTCAACCAGCAGGTGAGTCATGTAGTGTGCATGTAGGTGTGTGTGTGTGTGTGTGTATGTGTGTGTGTGTGTGTGTGTGTGTGTGTGTGTGTGTGTGTGTGTGTGTGT